TCACTTTCATTTAAACATAAAATACTCTCCTTCTCTTTGCTTTCCCAAATGTATTATTCATCTATATGCAGGCCTATTAAATGCTGCTGATGTCATTCTTTTTCCAGTACGTCTTTTTTACAAGTCTTTTTTTATTTTTCTCCTTTGATGTCTCCAAAATTCTTCTTCCTTTCTTCACTTTTCGTTCTCTTTAGCACCCCCTCCCCCTTCCTCCACCTCTGCATGGTGTTCAACAAACATATTCATTATTCTTATCGGTAGCGCATCCTATGATGCTTATTATATACTATTCTCCGTTTCCGTTTCCCATTTTATCACTGAGGGGGGGGGGGGGGGGGGGGGGTGCAAACTTCAAACCATTTTGGATATCCTACACTTTATCATGATTTGGCATCAAGCGATCAGGGGTACCCGTCGTCTTATCCATTTCCTCTCTTCTTGTATTTATAATATTTCCCTGACTTTCCTCATGTACAGTATAATGGTGGTTGCCATTGTTGACATGATGGTTATTATTTTTCTACTGAAATGTCTCAACTGTTTAGGCTATCTCTTTACTTTTGTGATATCAACCTTATCTTCAGTTGCTCCACGCCTCTGGAACCCCTCCCTCCTATTCTTCGCGACACCGACAAGCTAGAAAGCTTGAAGTCAGGCCTCAAAACCCATCTTTCCAAGAAAAAATTAATGTGTAGTACATGGCTATTGAAAGAGCGGGCGCCTTTGAATGTTTGAAACCAGAGCCATCTATACACAGAGTTTGGCCAGCTTGGTTTCAATTGGTCACAACATGGCGTATATATTATTTTGTTTTGTGCTTGCCCAACGATGCAGTAGTCTCCATATTGTGTACAACTCGAACCGGGTTGGCCAAACTCGGTGTACCGAGTATAGGTGGCTCTGTTTGAAACAGATAAATGGCGCCGTACAAGTGCTGTGGATCATATCCAGACACTTTCTCTTCACTGTCTCCTACACGGCAGCATACCCAACATAGTTTGCGAATGTTTCCCATGCGCTCACCTTTCCCATGTATTCACAGCAATGCGTTCTAGTTTAGATCTCCACGCGAACCATTTTTCTCGTTTTATAAAACCCCCAACCAACCATCGCCTTAGCAATAACACCCGCACCCATCAATCATTCACATTTCACTCATTTGTCACACTCTGTCCCGATTCCAAATGACACAAAATGGTCGCCAGAGGGAGTGATTTGTCTTTAGGAATGTAGAATTCTCCCTCTCTGTCACACATTCCTTCGGTTTCCCTCCCAGCTATACTCTCATTAGTGACACATCAACATTCACTTTGAAAGAAAGAAGATAAAAATTAAAACATAACAAAAAAATCAACGAAAGAAAAGAGAGAGAGAGAGAGAGAGAGAGAGAGAGACTGCAGAGGGGAAGAAAAGGGGGGACCTAGATTCTGTCCTTCAGAGCTGAGCGAAAATAGCTCAATGGGCTATATGTCAATCATTCAATTGAAAAGCGGTCGAAGAAAATATTTTGGTTCCAATTATCATGTTTATCAGGTTTGTGTTATAAATGGATTTTCGAGACAGGGAAAATATTGCCTCCCCCCCCCCCCCCCCCCCCCCCACCCGGGAAGAAAACAAGAAAATGCAATCGAATAACTGCAATATTGCAATATGCATGAACACAATATTATCATACATTAAATAAATGATTTTTTAAGGTTAAACATAGGCCTACACACGAACCCATTGAATGGTTAATGAAATTATGAAACAAAAATCAAAATGAATCAAAACGTTTCATATCAAGCCGATTAAAATGGAATCGTGTAAAATCGCATCAATTCAAATCTAAATAGAAGAAGAAAAAAAATCAAAATATAAATAAATAAAAAGATGAGATCCCAAACATTTACCCAAGTTGTCCATGCTGCTCCTGTCTATCTCTAAGTTTTAAAAATAAGTCAACAGCTTGTGGTAGTAATGGCTTGGAATACACGGGGGAAGATATCCACTCCATTAACTCATTAACTGCCTGGGGCCTGTCTCACTAAGCACTAAGATGCGTCTTAAGCGGCCTTAAGTCCCGTTATAGAACTTAGTGTAAGATGCATCTTAGCGGGAGTTTCACAAAGCCCACTAAGACGCGTACCGTACTTAGTACCCCTTTAACTAAGTTGCATACAGGTCGTAGCCTACGTCTCGTCGAGACGAGACGTAGGAACAGTTCTTAGTGTAATGTCAAGTGATGAATTTCGCGCCAAATTTGAAAGTTGTTCTAATTCGACCTCGATGACGGTCGATCTTCAAACATTGATGGCTTTGACGTTTCATTAAAGTATTTGAGAAAGAAGACGATTCGTCGGACTCATTGTCTGAATTTTCAAAAATGTTTCTTTGTCCGATAAAAAGTCACAGTTCGTAGGGGGAATTTTTTTTTTGCTGGCCGACTGACATAATACATCTCACCAGCTTCAAACTTGATATAGCACACGAGGATCGAGCAAGACTTCACCCAACAATTCCCTCTCTCTCCTACTGCACCCGGCTCTTATTCCTGTCTCTCTCTCCTCTCTTTCACCCCCCCCCCGTTTCTTTATTTTTCCCCTTCCTTTTCTTTCTTTTCCTTTCTTCCTCTTTTTCTTGTTTCTCTTTATTTCTTCTTTTCTCTTACTTTCTTTTCTTTCCCTTTCCCTCCTCTTACTTTCTTTTCTTTCCCTTTCCCTCTCATTTTCAATATTTTCCCGACAGTAGCGCAATATTACCGACAATATCCTGACAGGGGGGGGGGGGGGGTGGGTCTCGCACCCCCACTTAATCGACGTCCCTAGTTGTTATCCCATTATTCTTTTTAAAAAATGCAATTTCTCATGCTCTCGCCGCACCTCTCTTCTACCGTTGTTTAATTCTTTCTTTTTTTTTCCTTTCTCCTTTAACTCACAATTTGAATTTTTGTTGGTTCTTCTTGTGCTTTTTTTTTTTTTTTTTTTTTTTTGGGGGGGGGGGGGGTGTGATATGATATCATTTTATATCTACATGTATGTTCAACAAATGACCTATATCATATGCCCATGATTATTGCTACCGCAGATAGTAATGCGGCTTCACATACATCTAATAAATACAACAAGTTGTTCTTATTTGAGTTCTACAAAATCCAGCCTCAAGAAGACTCTTATTATAAATCATAATTAGTGTACAACACTTTACAGGGGGGGGGGGTGGTACACGCCTGGCAAGAGGGACCCAATATTATGCACATTGCAAAATTGCGTGACACTCCCCCCCCCCCCCTTTCCCGGTAAACAAAAAAAAACCTTCTTATAATATCATCCCCCTTCTCATTATTTTCTCTCCTCTCTTCCTTTCCCCCTTTCTTGTCTTCTCCCTCTGTTTTCTCTCTTTCCTTTTCTTTCTTTTCCCCCCTCCTTTTTCTCCTTTTCTCCAAATCAATGCAATGTAATCAAAGCATTTCTTCACGTGCCATGTATTTTACTTTTTCAGAATGACTATGTTATAAATTGACTGATATCTGAATTATCTCATCAAATCAAATGTCACCATTTATTTAACAACTTTTTTCTACAACAAGATATAGTCATACGGATACACACAAGTTGTACATAATGTGACAGAAAAATTAAATTTGTTAAAGGCCAGTAATTTAACTTTATTACACTTAAAAATAGCAAGGAAAAGACAACTTTTGCTATGGATTTTCTGTAAAGCAGCAGTAGTATTTATTATTCTGATTATAAAAACAGTCCATTTCTATCATAACTGTAGCAGATAATATTCTTCTTGATTGATAAGAGTAGAAACTGGGTAAAATCAAACAACCTAAATTACATAATATAGGAGTTCTATGATGCATCATAAATGTTAGCTTAACATGTGGATAGATTAACATGCTCTCACCTGTCTACCCATTGAACGTCAAAGGTTTTCTGTTATTAACTAGTCTTTCGGTGTCATCACAAAATATTTTTAACAATTTACAGAAAGGTGCACACTAATAAATTATGTATAATGGTGCGACTCAGTAGATTTACGGAAATACTGTATTGTTCGTAATAAACGCACCTCCTGTCCCCTTATTCTTCACTTGAAAGAGCAAATGAAAGACAGTTTCTTTCAAATGGGTCCGCAGTTAAGTTTCCTATTCACAAATCATAGTTATTAATTTATAATTAATGTCCATGTTTTGATCAGCACGTGACCGAACGAAATTGATCTGAATTCTGGTGTACCTTTGGATGTTGTAATTTGTTAGTTTTAAAGAACATGACTTGATATATATGATACAGAGACCTGTATATATCATATAACAAGACAGTAAAGGTTCTCTGAAGTGTTGGGAGCCCCACAAAACTTATTATGCCAAAATTTCCCCTAAATTGCATAATCAAGTGAAAGAAGATATCATTTACCGGTAAGTTTAACACACATTTCTGCAAGAGTTTTCAGAAGAAATGTGTTTGAAGACAGATATTGATGACAGAATACAAAATTGAGGTTTACTGCATACAAAAGAAAACCTGAATTTGTCTCTTCAATCATATTTATCATGTTTATTATGAAAATCATTGCAGAAGTGTCTGTTAAATTACATCCTCTTTCACATCATTAGACAATTTAAGTGAAACTTTGCCATGACATTTTTGTTAATTTTTGTCTCCCAACACTTTACAGGGGCTTTAATTAAGGAGGAGCTGCTGAATATACTTACATTTGGGAGGTAGCAAAATTCACCTCAAAACTTTGAATAAAATTATGGAAAAACATGATAAATAGCGCCCTTGTTGAGTTGAATTAAGGAGATCTATGGCTGTGGGTTTATTTGCTGGGGTATTGTGGATACTCCTTAGCTCTTCTAAAATTGATTCGCTTAAATGTACTTGCTTCTGTTTAACTATTAATTTGGCCTGTTGTATTCTCAGCAGCTCCTCCTAAATTTCTAATTGCCTGATCTGTGCAGGTCTTTGTGTTAAAATTTCACGCCACTGATCAGACCGAGTAGACCGAAGCTGAGGCTGAGGAGGCTGAGGCTGACGATCACTGGGGCCTGGAACATTTTCATTAGACAAGCTCAGGTCCATAGCCTCTGAATCCTGTTCACAAATAAACAACAATAACAGTTAATTCATAAAACAAGAAAAATATGTATCTCAGATTTTGCAATTGCTATATCAATGAATATGAATTTGGCAAAGTTGTAATGAGTCAAATTTTACATTTTTAGCCTTCCTGAAAACCTTACAAAGTTAAACATTCCCACAATGTTGTATCTACTGGTAACACTAAGTATGGGACCAAAATGTTAACTGCCTGTACATAACAACATGAAGACTACTAATGGCTTTCACAAGCAAAATAATTCGGACAAAAAAGATTGATGGATATTAGTCAAAGACCTTATTATTGAACATGCCAACCACACCCATCCCACTTCAAAGCTATCATCACTTATAGCATATGTCCCATACCACTTGCTAATGATACACATGTTACTTCTGGAAGTCTCCTGGGGGAGGGGGTAACAGGGTATACTCAGATTATTAAACTGTAAGAATGCATGATCAAAACTTTTCTACACACCACAGGTTTTCAAGTCACTTAACATTTTGTTGTGTAGACATCCTGCTCAATATGTCACATTTCTTTTTTTAAACGCAATTTTAAAAACTGTTTGAAACTAACTCCAATCTCGCCTATTAAGCATCACACTCACCTGTCCTTTGGGCTTTATATGCTTTGGCTTTCAAAGCCATGTCTTGCCATTTCTTTCTTAATGTATGCCATTCCCTCTCTTGGCCACCAGCTGCTCTGAATGTGTTGCTCTTTTCCAGGTTCTATGCATGGAAATAATGTGGAAGTAGACAGATTATATATTTAGGATTAGTTGCACTAAGGATCTACATGGGTTGCCATGTTAATTATGATTAAAGCTTCAACTGGATAACTGTACTTTGTTTTATATACCTGTACTTTGTTTTATATACCTGAATATTGTAGCCTTGGATTTTGCAGTAGTGGTGGCAAAGTTAAGTGTCAGGTTTTCAATTTTTCAACAGACTACCATACCCAGTGATTTCAAGACTGTTTTTTTCTTTTACCCCTAGCCCTAACCTCGCCAGATGAACCCCCCCCCCCCCGGACCCCCATTTAATCTTCCTCCTTTTGGTGAATTTCTCGTTCTCATCCATGCATACCTTTCTTTCACCTTTTCTTCTTTGCTGCTCCCCTTTCCTCCTGTTCCAAATGGTTCATGTTTCTAGTAGCCACAAACTGCAGAAGCACTTTAATTTCTATCCTTTGGAATTCCTTGCTTCTTTACCTCCGCGTTTCCTAAAATTTGAGGAAAATGCAAACTAGTTATTAGGTCATGAGGTCTGGCCTAGATCTATCATCTAGTCTATTTATGTTTCATGAATTGCCCATCAATTATAACATCATGTTATTGCCCGTTTGTCTTCTGACTACCAACTATGTTTACCTTAGTTAGAGCACTTGGGTTTTAATACTACTTTTATTAAATAAGCTGAATAAAACTTGGGTCATGATCAGTTGATCACTGCTTTTTTCCCAAAACTCAGACACGAAACATGTTTTTTTTTTTTTTAGACCTAGAAATCTATAGAATCTAGAATAGACCCTATGTCCCAAAATGTAAATGGAATAGATCTAGACCTTCTAGATCTAGATCTAGATCTAGACTAGATCTAGGCCTAATCTTGAAGAAAAAAGAAAAAGAAATTGTAGGTCTAGGCCTAGGCTAGATCTAGATCTAGAAAAGCTTAGACCGAAAGCTTCAGTCTCTGATATCGACGGTGGTTCCGCTGAGATTGCATCTGGCTCCAATATGGGGAAAGTCAACAAATGTCAGTTTTATTAAAGAAATGACCCTTATAAGACGGTTATTTCTGTCTAGACTAAGCTTTACCAGTACACCTATTGCAGTAGGCCTAGACCTAATTGTCAATTATAGCCTAGGCCTAGACTAGACTATATCTAGATCTAGCCTAGATCTAGTTCCAGAGCAATGCTTAGTTAGATCTAGGCCTAGATCTTCTAGACTAGGGTCTAGACCTAGGTCTAGATCTAGTGTCTTAGTGAGTAGGCCTAGTGTCTGAAATAATTACAGCAGTCACACATCACAAAGTAGATCTAGACTTCTAGACTCTAACTTAGATCTAGATCTAGGTCTACTAAGAAGATTAAGAATAGTCTAGATCTAGATCTAGTCGAAGACTCAGTCTCAGACTCAGAGTCAGAGTCAAACTCAGTCAGAGTAGGTTCTAGGCCCTAGATTAAGAATATATTTAGATCTCTATCTAGACTAGTCTAGACTAGGTCTAGATCTAGTATACTCTAGTAGAAGGCCTAGAATTGAACTAGTTAGGTCTAGGTCGTGCATGAGAAATAGCTTGATATAATCCGCGATCCCAGACTAGACTGACAGCGGGCTCGCTACCGCCACCACACGCACGGTTCACTGCCAATTAATTGGCTGCGATTCGTCGAGGTATCAAATACAACTTCCATCACAATCTTCCACTGCATACATTTCGCTTTCAATATTTTACTTCTATGTTGTCTTAAAAAAAAGTTTAATAACATACCTTCCCCATTTTTATCCAACAGTAGTCGAAATAATGTTAAACAATCACTTAAAGTGACAAAATTCAGCCTCCTTTCACTTTCGATGCAGACGAAAACTTACAGGAAAAAATTACTTTTATCTTCACACAAGGTCGAAGGTCACGAAATTCGGCTTCGTAGAATCAAAATCCAGACGTTTTATTGTTGAAGATGCGCCGCACACAGGACTTAGTAAAGAACGGTTTAGTGAAACTGAGAAACCAACAGGACGTCAGTAAGACCCGTCTTAGTGTATGACGCGTCGCAGCGACACTAAGTCCTGTTACACTAAGTACTGTTTAGTGAGACAGGCCCCTGGTGTCTCAACCATATAATAGACCCCCCCCCCTCCCTAAAAATATAATTTAAATGCAGTGGACTCCCTGATGAGGCCACAAGACCATGAAACCAATTCATTAATCCACTTCCCCTGTTTTTCATTGTTTTCTTCCCCCTTTCTCGTCTTATTTCTAAGGTACTGTCATACTATCTTGACGAGGTGTAACCTATCTTCCGAGGCATATTCTTAGCACGATTAAAATGAACACACAAATGCTTTTGAGAGCACACATACCTTCGGGAATTAGAACACGGCCAGAATATCTCTTTCATTATGTTTGGTGGTTTATATTCCATTCTGTATTTTCCACCGTTCCAATTCTACATTCGAAAGCCATTTTCTGATCAATTCGAACCTCTTTTGCTTCGATATCTCTCGTTACGCACCCAGAGGACGCCCGCCGGTTTGGGGCATCGCTAACGAGGAAAAGTGGATTCGGAGATGGGGCCCCGAAGATTGAAGAGAGCGATTGTTTGAGAAATTGAGAGAGAGAGAGAGAGAGAGAGAGAGAGAGAGAGAGAGAGAGAGAGAGACAGAGAGAGACAGAGAGAGAGCGATATCAGGGGGGGGGGGGGTAGGACTGACATAAAACAGAGTGAGACAAGGAAGAAAAACAAGTGAGAGAAAGATGAGAAAGAGTGGGTGAGAGGGGGATAGAGTGGGAGAGAGAGAGATGGTCATATAGATAAAGAGAGACATAGAAGGGATCATTATCTAGATAATAGGCTATAATCATGTATAAAAGTAATAATATGTTTTCGTTATCTTTGCATTGTCTTTGAAAGAAAATGTCTCTTGTACTATTACAGCTCGTTTGTGATATTTTTTTTCTTTATCTGATCTTTGCTTTTACACTATACCTCACAATAATAAATGCAACCGTCATAATTATGCATAGCGCGTCCATGTGAATGTATTTTGATTTCTCTTATGAATATTATAATCTCGTTTCCATTTTTATTTAAATTCGTTTTCCCTTCCGATTTGATAATCCAAGTGCTCCAGCTTACATTATAACAGGATTTAGAGTGGTGCCCAATCCCTTTTATGAGATTATGATCAGCAGGGGTCGGTAGGAGAAGGCAGGAGGATATTAGAGAACTGCGATATATTTCAGTCTCGTTACACAATGCTATATGCGTGCAAAATGTGCAATGCAGTCTTTTAAAGGCCCACAGCACTACTTGTAGCTACTTGCGCCCTCTATATAACAAACAATTCTTACTCGGTGACCATTGGTCCCCCATGATCCTCTTTTACTTATGTTAACTGAGAATTGAGTTGATGAGATAACCACCTGTCCAGTAACCTTGCGGGGCGGTCTAATCCATCCTGTAAACTACGGCAGATAAGCTTTAAACAACAAGAAGAATGTGTATAATTTCATTTATTTATTTCCACCTCAAAATATGAACAAAATTATGTTACCATCAAATTACAAACATATACAATGAGATATCTGAACTGGTTTGTTAAAAACGATCCCTATTAAAGATACAAAATAACAATACCTATGGTGTATAATGTGCATTAAACCAAGATTACAAAAAAGGGAAGATAAACAAAAAAAGAGAAAAGAAAAGAAAGAGGAAACATTGAATAAAATTTGACATGATCAATTATTATAATTTTCCAAAAAGAAATTGTTTATACTGTCTATTTTTTCATTCCATTACCTCAGCCATATTATGATAGTTCTTTAAATATAATTCCAGGTTGTAAAACAATAAGAAATGCAGGTTCTATTTCAAACCTGAACACGGGCAGTGTACATTTTTTTTAAACTAGGGACAATCTAACGACTGAATTTGTGTGGGTGGTCCATTTTCCCCATCCCTTTAGGCGTTGCAGGGCATGTGCAGGTATGAGAAAGAATCTCACATGCAAATAGTACAAGTCTAATAGAAATGTGAAAATTAAGACAGGATTAAAAAGAGATATAAACATAAAATAAATACATGACGATAAAGAAAAAGAAAAAGAGCATACGGCTTTGGAAAAGGAGCGAAGGATAAGTAGATGTCACTAATCTCCATTATACATCCCGAACAACAATAAGTTCATCGAAGCTCTTTGACATAGCATAGCGAGAGGGATGGAAATGGCGACGGACTCGCCTAACTTCCGTCGGCTCGCTCAGCCCGCCCGGCAGGGAGCTCGACTCGTAGTCAAATCCTCCACCGAAATATACGAAACAAAACCTCATCGCTCTTCTCTAATCTCAATGGCAAATCTTTAAATTCCCTGGGGTGAATGGAAGTGACCCGCTAATCCTTTTCATGCATTTATGAATCTCTTTTCGAGCATCTCTGGTAGAAGATGTGCAGCAATGTCGGTTTTTACTCAAATAGTTTTAAGTAAGCAAGCGACCCCGGAGAAACTTTGAATGCAAATGAAAATAAGATCGCTTGAGTTTATACAGTAACAACACTTAATAGAATATGTGCTCACATAACCATGTACATAGTGTATGGAATATCTAAGTCACTCTTTTATTGTTGTTCTTTTTGCGAGTTGTCTAATTTAAAAAGAACATCAGATCTGTTGATGAAAACCATACAGTACTAATGATAAAATAGATTTCCCCCAATTGTTAATCATTTTTGTACACTTTTTTTCACATTTCGAAATGATATGCATATATTTTAATGTTTGTATGTTTGTCTGTTTTTCATTGGAGAATGATTCAAAACAGAGCTGAAGTGAACTGATAGATAGGCATATATATGGTGTGTATGAACAGTTCTTGCCCACATACACAACTAATATTCGTCTACTAATAAAAAGATAGTGAAATAACAGTTGCACATCTATCCTTATTCGATAGGCACCTCTTTCGAAGACACGAAAGACTATTCCATGGCGAATTACATCTTCAGCTTCCGCTCCTGTTTCCATTTGCAATAAAACCCTTGTTTTGCGGGAGGGTGGCGATAGTGACAGCCTAAGTCCCACCTATAGGTATCTCTTACTCGTTGAATATGATATCTGATTCACACCGTCTTATCACCATAGATGTGTCATGTACATCCTAGATGCATGCATTTATTCATAACATCGTGACTCGACTTTTAGCCTTCCGAAGTGTCCGCGTGTGTGACCAGATGATTTCTAATTTCTGGGTTGAATTCGTGCTTTTGCACTCAGTTTCTGCTATTTATCAGAGTGTAATTTTGTTTCGTTTTTATTGTAATGTGTATGGACTTATTTCATATATTTTTCTTTTTCTTCTTCTTCAAATTCATCAGCAGCAGCTTGTTCTTGTTTATGTTCTTCTTGTTCTTTTCCTTGTTCTTCTTCTTATTATTATTATTCTCATTTGTTTGTCTCTTTCGTATTATTCTTCTTCTCCTTCAATCTTCTATTTTTCCTTCTTCTTCTTACCCGTCTAATTTTTTTCCGCGTTCACTATCCTTCTTTGCCTTACCTTCTTCATCGTCCTAATTCTCCGGGGGTTTTCCCCCTTTCCCCCTAATTTTCTCCTTCCTTTGTTTTTAATCCAAGCATGCATTTATTCATAACGTCGTGAATTCGTGACTCCAGTTTTCTGAAGATGATCCTGTTAAAATTAGTATTCACTCTTTCCTCGAGTCTTATTTTCGTGGTTTGAATTCGTGTTTGAAGCCTCAGCTATAGATCGGTTGCGTTTTATTGCCTTATTGAATGTGTATACGCTTACTTTACTGCGTTCATTTTCCTTTATTTATTTTCTTCTTCTTCTTCCTTTTCTCCTTCTTAATGTTTTGCTTCTTTTCTTTCATTTTATTTTTGGTATTCTCTTTCTTTCTATCTATCTTTCCACGTTCTTCCCAAGTTCTTCTTCGTTTTGTATTTCATCTTCTTTGTCTCTTCAATAAACTAATACAAGCATAATCATTAGATTTCTTTCGACTTTACTGTCATAGTTTTTACAATATGTTTTCTATTCATTTACGGTATTGAAATCCCCATTTTGCTTTATTACCGTCATTTTCTTTTTCTTTTGATATTGTTTTCTTCATATTATGGATTTCTTCTACTGACCGCCTTTTGCAGTGAACATTATTTCGTATTTACAATTATATCCTCTTTGTTTCCTTTTCTGTTGTTTCTGTTGTTTCTCTTGTTATTTTTGCAATGTTTACCCTCATTTCTCTTTAAATAGTTTGCCACGTCACACTCTACAATTTTAAATACAACATCTTTGTATTTCCCCCTTGTTTAAATATCATCTACTATCTTATCCCTCCTTATAATTGAATTCTTCTTCAACTTCTTATCCAAGCTCACAATCCTCCTTTTTTGTTTTCCCTTCTCCCTTTTCCTTCATCCTTTTTCATCTTCTTTCTCATCTCTATCCTCAGCCTCATCCTCTTCCTTTCCATTTTTTCCATCCTTTCTTAAGTCTTCATCTTTTTCCTCTTGTCTCACTTACATGGCTAAAAGCACCCTAAAAGCAACCGAATCCATTTAATAACACCCGCCATCCTCGCGTTCACATCGCACATGCACCTGTGCGCCGTGCGTCTTGTAATACACACACACTGCAGCGTGACTCGCTCGCAAGACGCCTAATCCAATATAATACACACACACGTTGTGTGTTCTCGATGGCGCTTTCACTTTTTCGTGGCGCCGCGAACCGCTGTAGCATTATTAATGCAGGTGGTTGGGACCAACTTAAAGGCGCACTCCGCGATGATGGTAAAATGAGAAGTCATGTTAAAGGAAAAGTCGGACTTATTGACTGTGGGCATTGCTGAAAAGGATTGTGTATTTTTAGCATTGGTACTTTGTTTATGAATAAATATCATCTCTCTTACTCTGTCTGTCTAAATCCATCTCTTTCCCTCTCTCTCCCTTACCCCATCTCCAACAGTGTGAAGTTTACCTCACGGTTATTGAAAGTATACTTAGTGGATCTTACAAACCCGGCAGAACCATAACTACGAGGAAGAGCTCAAGAACATTTCAGAATTATGTATCGAAAAAAC